TAGAACAACTTGATGAAAATAAACATAGTTTTTTACGGGTTTGTACTCTTTTTTATTTAATTGAATAGCAAAAAAAAATTTCTTTTTTGGATTAGGCATGTACAGTTGCTCGTCAAAAATCCGATTTATTTCATAAATATGCACTTCGTAATGCAGCTAATTTAATAAAACCTGAAGCTTATTTAAAACCACTTGAACAAAAAATTAAAAGTAATTAAATATTTTTTTAAAAAAATGTTATTATTAAATATATAAATTTTTTTTCTCTCTATGTAGATGTTTCAACAATATTAAAAAATAAAGAAGATACAGTTTTAAATGCTTGGCATCATAGAAAAAAAATTATTGATGAATATTTACAATATATTTCATTTAAACGTAATACAGATAAAGTTTTTGTATGGATTGATGAACATGATGAATGTTTCGTATCAAAACTTGAAGAATTAGATATTAATGATGATGGTTATATGGATTTTGTTCGTGCACTTAAGGTTTGTTTATTCAAATGCATGTACAATGATTCGAAGATTCTAAATAATGATTTAAATAGTGATAACTTGGTATTCAACACTTAGAATCCCAAAATAAAGAAAGCTCGAAGACTAGCGGATTGGTCCAGATCTGAAAGTTTTGGATCCAACAGGCTCTATCGGAGATATCTTATTTTTTTGGGGTACTGAAAAACAAGATCATTATTTAAAATCTTTATGGTAGTTACGATTAGGAAAAAAATTGAAATTAAATCTGTATGATTAGTTTTTTTTTGGAGTAAAATCATAAATGTAAAGATATGCAAGTTTAACAAATAAAACAAAATCATGCCTTATGATATTTCTATTAATAAAAGAATTGTTTTATTGATCTAGTTTAGATACAACAAGAATGATATATGGGTAAAATCAGCGAAAACGGGACATTCCCCCATTGCATTTGAATGCAATTCTCTATCAGTATAGATGTTTTGAGTGAATTGTTTTTGCATAGGCTTATGTAAAATTGTCTGCTCTTTCATATGATTATTAATTAATTAATTAA